TAAAAATTATCACTAATAAATTTTTATATAGTACTACATATCATTTTGATCTATATAGTAGCCCTGTTCATTTTTAGATTGGATCACTCAGATTAACAAAATCAATAATTAATAAATTGTAGTTATAATTGAATATAATTTTTTTGATCAGATCAATAGTATCAATAATTTTATATTTTCATCATTCTAGCCTTCTTTTTCAAATTGAAAGTATTATTAAAAGTGTCTTTTTTACTCATTTTTTTATAAATTTTTGGTTTAGTAGTGTTAGAATAATATTAGTAATAATTTTGATCAATGGTAATAAATTAAAAGTATGTAAAATTGAGTTAGAGGTTATTATAGCTATAATGTCTGGATTTTGTATAAAAAATTCTTATAGTTTTAGGAGAATTAAATGAAAAGTAGAATTTGAATTAGATATTTTAAATTAAATATGACAAATTTTAAAAAATAATTGCATTTATTTCAAAAATCAGCTAATCTGAATTAATTTATTAAAAATTAATCAAGATAAGTAATAAAATATTGATTGTATTAATCGCTCACCTGATCATTCTAATAGCCAATAATTTTTAATTTTAATTTTCAGTTGATCAGGTCTGATCTAGAAATAAATAGGGCTAGTATATTAAACATCCTAATGTTATGTAATATTTGTGCAAAAAATGTTTTACAAGTTTGATATAACATTAATTTTACGATTTTATTAGTTGAAATTGTAATAAATATTTTTGAATATCATATAATTATTAATTTTGATTGATTTTAAAAGACCTTTTAAGTTACACAAATATTTGCATTTATCATATATATCAAATTATGAAATTTTGAAATTGTTACATGTTATCAACCAATAAATATTAGTTTAAATATTTAAATTAATAATATGAAAATGATTGTATGACTATAAATTTAATTTCTTATGATAATTATAAATTAATTTAATTTTTACATATATTAACATTTAAGAAAAATAATAAAAATATATATATAATATATAATAATATAAATTTTATAGTCTTAAAAATAATATTTTTGTACATTTAATAAATTTTTTGTTGCTACTATATTATATATTACTTTTTTTATATTAATTAATCTATTTTTAATTGCATTTTTAATATTATTATCAATGAATCTACCTTTAATCTTTTCTTTTATCATTAAATTTATTATTAATATATTGATATTATTCTTAAATTTATTCAAAAAATAGTCTAAATAAATAAAATATTTAAAATATTTAAATTGGTTCTTTTATAAGTAAAGACTATAGTAATTATAATCATTACTAAAATATTATAATTATGTAATTATTATCACAATATATATAATTACATAAAAATTTAATATTTAATTTTTAAAAGTAATGAAATCTCTTAAAAAGATGCTAATCAATTATTTCATAACTTAATAAAAAAGTTTATATGTATTAATACCATTAGATAATAATTTAATAATTAAAGGATACTAATCATATACTTAATATATTTTTGTGAATATATCTAAAAGAAATATAGCATACTTTTTTGAAATTATTTCAGTATATATAAATATTTCATTGAATACACAAAATATTATTAAAAATATTATCTTTTCAATGCTGAAAAATAAATACATCACCTTTTGTAATTATTCAACTATAGAAAATTTAATAATGTAACATTAAATAATACTATAAATAATTTTTACAGATAATCACTTAGTAAAGCAAGATTATTAATAATCATATTAATCATCAGATGATTAGTTTTCATCTAATAAAAATATCAGAAAAGAACATTAAAAACTTGTTTATAATTTTTTAATTAAACTAAAAAAAGATCACTTTAATAATATATATATGCCTTCTTTAAGAACTAAAAGAATCAAATTGTTGAAAAAATCAATTAAATATAAAATTCAATATTTTTGTATATATAGTCAAATTTTAAATAAACAATATCACTGATATCAAGTTATATAATACATATAATATTAAAAATTAAATTAATTTTTCATGACTAAAATTTCTTATCAAGATTTTTATATATATCAAATATACTAAAAAGTGATAAAAATATTACACAGTCAAGAATTAGATAATTTTATTAATTTTTAATAAGTAACTAAGTTATATTTTTTTAATAACTTATTAGTTAACTATTATTTAATAAAATATTTTGTTTGTTATTTAGTTTAGAGTAATATATAGTGTAAAATCTAATTTTGAAAAAATCTCTACTTTTCAATTCTTTGTACTTTATATATTCTTACTAAAAGAATAGTTTTAGTTTTTTATATTTTTACTAATTAATAAGCTATAAGTATCTACATAAAGTCAATCTATGACATCTTATATAATTTATAATTTTTGGCATTTTAGTCTTTTAATGAAAATATAATGTGCAATGTTAAAAAATAAAGATTTTTTAAAATTTGATTTAAGAATTACAACATAATAAATTAAATAATTAATAAAATATTTTATTAATACAATAGATGTCTAAAATATTTCTAATAAAATATGGCTTAGTATTAATGATAAATTTACTTAATATCTCATTTTTAATTATACAATATTTTTGTCACTTTTTAATACTTTATAAATATCATTAAATAAAATAAATTTTTTTAAAAAATAAGTTTATAAATATTTAAAGAAATATGTAAAGAATTCATCTAAATACAAATGATATACAGTTTCTATCAAAAGTAATTGCAGTTAGGGATATTGCTTCTTATGTTAACTACAGCAACTCTGTTATTCCAATTTAGCTCATTGTTTATTAGACCAAATTGGATAATGGTATGTTTATATAAAATAAATAATAAAAAAATAAATTAAACCTATTAGAACTTTTTATTACTTACCAAAATTACAATACTATTAACATTTATTAAAATAAGTTACAAAGTCATAAAGATTTTTTGAAATAAAAACGTACAATATTTGAGTAGTTTTTAAAAAAAATTGAAAAAATTATTAAAAATATTAGTTGCACAAAAAAAATTTCAAATGAAATTTTTTTTTAATGAAGAAATGAGATAATCTTGATAACTCAATATTACTTAACTGTATCAATAGCATGCTAATCAAATTTAAGCATGTATTGATGATGCAAATGGAAGATACACTATATATTATTATCTAATAAAATTTATAAATATTTTTTTTATCTTTATTTAAAAAAAAATTTACCTATATTTGATATAAAATTATATATATAAGGTTAAAAAAACTGTCCACCATTATTTTTAACAGAGACTGTAATAAATAGAAAAATATATTTATTGTTAATAAAAAGTATTATATAATAATTTTTTGAATAAAAGCTAATCAGATTAGTCTACAATAATAAGTATTATATAATTAGAAAAATACTCTTTCATTAGGATTTAATTATAAATAATTTGAAGAGCTTTCATATAGTTATTTATATTTTTTTAATTGCTTTTAATAAAATTAATATTCTGTATATATTTCTCATATTTTTTCTGTTAACTTATCATAGTAAATATATAATATTAATCTATTTATAATCTTATTATTAAAGCATTCATAATCTGTATAATCTTATATATAATTATGATTATAATAAATCACTTATCAAAATGCTTTTCTATCAATTTATTATTGAATTTATTGCTCTATTACATCATATCAGCAGTGTAAAATATGAATTTATTATAGTTATTACTATATATACTATCTAAAATATACTTGTAGTATCAGGTCACCTTTGAATATAAATATTATGATAATCATTAATATTCAACACAAAGGTTTTTTCTAAATATTTTATAAAGATATTCTCTATGTAATTTTCATATATATATGATATTTTTTTTCTTTTTATAATCTATTGTTTTTTATGTAATTATTATACTAAGATTTACTATCATATTTAAATTTTTATTGTTTATACCTATTGAATTTAAATAATATGTAAGACTAAACTTAAAGAAATAATTTTAATATTATTTAATAAAGCAAAAAAATAATATAATACCATTAATCTTATTATACAATCTATTATTTATTTATTATACTTCTGTGACTGAATTATTAAATAAAACTGAATAAAGAAATTCTTTAGGCTTAAATTACTTTCTTGAAATAATTTTTGCAATCCATTAAATCTATATATTAGATTTTTTTCTTCAAATATTTTTTATAATATAGAATTTTGGTTATTAACTGAATAGTTCTAGTTAAATTAACCTTTATACTTATCTCTTTCTCAATTATAACTTCTAAAATTCTTTTTAGTTATGATTTTAACTTATTTAGAATCTCATTTTAATAGATTCTTTATTAAATACATTGTCATAGTGAAAATTTTCAATTTGGATTAATCATGTTCTTAAATTTTTACTTAAGATTATTAATTGCGACTTACTGCAATTAAGAAATTAAGATCTAGCTAACTCTTAACTTTATCAAATCTACATTAAATTTTAAAACAAATCTATCAAATATGAAGATTTGAAAGACAAAATTATAAACATTTAATTAAAGAATTTAGATGATAAATTTAATTACAAATAATATGTAAAAATTAAGTCAGACTATATAAAGATATAAAATGGTAGAAAGATATAAGTTTTAATTAATTTGTTTATTAATATTAAACTCATATTCACAAAAGAGTTTGTAAATTTGCAAAAAAGTTAATTTATAATATAAGCAAAAAGTTTATCTATTTATATAAAATTTTTTTTGTTATAGCTAACTATTTATTATGCTATAACTAACTAATTTGATAAATAAAATATAAATCAGCGTATAAAATCTAAAAAATATTACATGTAACCACATGTATATAAATTTATTTTGTAGTATTAAAAAATTTTGTGCATTTTATAAAAAAGATCAAAATAAAATTTTGTGCACATTTTTGTGTACTATATAAAATAGTACTTTAAATTCTAATAAATCTGAAATTTTTAAAGAATCTCAGAGAGAAAGCCTAAGAAATAGCTATTATATCTAAAAAAAGTAGCAAGCATGCAAATTACCCAATCCTGACATAGGGAGATAGTAACAATAAATAATAATACAGGATTCTTTTAAATTCTATAATTGAAATGAATACAATTTAAATCTTTTAATGAAAAACAATTGGAAGGCAAGTTTAGTGTCAGTAGCTATGATAATTCTAGCTCCAATAGTATATATTAAAGTTGTTACAGTTAAAAAGCTCATAGTTGAATTTTGTGATTAATATTTTGGTCATGCCATATTTCTTATCAAATAAATATAAAGTTATTATTATATAGTTATCATAAAAATGATCTTTAAAAATATTAAAATATCAACATAGAAGTTTATATAAGAATATAATTTAAATATTTACTATATTTTAAGTATTATATACATTAAACATAGGTTATAAATTAAACAAATTATATATTTTAGTTACTTGATTTAGTTTGTATCATTTATTATTATTATAGATTTATTAAAGTAAATAAACTAACTTATATAAAGATTTTAAGAAGTTTATTCTGTATAAATGTATTATTAGAATAGATATTTAATAAAAAATTAATAATATTATTTACTAAAGTTCTTGATTTTTTTTTAATATTTTAAGGATCTTCTTCTATAATTTGAAAATAATAAAATAAGTAATTATATATTTTAAAAGAGAATTAGTAAGAAAATATAGATCTTTTAATATAATTCAGTAAATATATTTTATAAAAAAATATAAAAAAGATATTATAAATTAAAAATAATATTATAACTAGTTATAACTAATGATAAATAAATATCATAAGGTTAGAATTAGTTATAACTAGTAACAAATAAGTATCATATAATTGCAACTAGTTGTAATGCTATTTTTATTGTAAATTAAAAGAGAGGGCAAAAAAATATCCTTAGCAAAGTAAAATATAAACACTTTATAATAGAAAAAATAAAAATTACTAAAAATAACTTTTTGAATTAATATTAAATTTGAACTTATTTCATTAAAAAAATAATATTTAGTTTATAAAGTAAAAAAAAGCTTTTTGATAGTTTTTACTTTTCTATTATAAAGTACTTATATAACTAAATTACCTATTTTATTTTTTTAAATGTTTTATAATTTTCTCATTCAAATTTTTTAAAGCTCAAGTTTATATTTAAGGTTAAATAGAAGAATATATAACAGATTTTTATATAAATATTTTGTATTAGAAAATAAGAATATATAGAATGTATATTAAAAATTTTGACATTTATAAAAATATTAAAGATAGTTTAAAAGAGACTAGATAATATATACACAAACTTTTTTTTGCTTATTTAACTATTTAATACTAAGACCTGATAATATTATATAAATATTTTTTAGTCAAAATATAATAGAAATAGTTTATTTCTTTAAAGTAAAAATATATATTAGTAAAATATATTTTATTAAAGTATTATAAGAAAAAATTTAAAATATTTTTAAGAAATCAATTTTTTATATGTAAAAATATTTTATTATATAAGTTTAATTATACTTGTATAGATAATTTATAATATATTATTTATTATATCATATAGTTCTTAAAAAAGTAATCAGAATTACAAAAAATATTAGAGTTTAAACTCGAGTCAGAAAAGTTAACTCAAGTCAAAATTAAATTAAGAAATTTTTAACTCGAAGAGTACTCGAGTTGGAAATTTGAGTCAGAAACTCGAGTCAAATTCGAGTTAAAGTTATAATACGGGCTAGAAAAGTATAATACAGGCCAAAATTTTGTGATATTTTTAGGGTTGAATTAAAGGAAATTTTTTTAAAAAATTTTTATTCAATGATTATATAATAAATGTTAATTATATTATGCTAATAAATACAGTTTAAGAAAAGAATTACATGCTATTTATAAAATATAGCATAAATTTGAAGTTAACTCGAGTAGTTTTAATTTGAGTTAATTCGAATTCTGACTTGAATCAAGAAAATCTTGACTTGAATCAGAATTTAATTCAAGTTGATTTGAGTTAAACGAATACAAGTTCAATCTTTAAAAAATATAATAAATAAAAAATTAGTAATTAAAATTATTTTAAAATTTGTAGATTTATTAATAAATATATAAATATTATATATAAAATTTTAGCTATTTATTTTATTTTCTTATTTTATAATCATATTTTTAATAAAAAAAATTGTTAAAAATTTAAAGAATAAAAAATTTGTTAAGTTTTATATAATACCTCAAATATCAATAAATAATATAAAAAAAATTACTATTATAAAAAATATACTTTTTAATAAATTTATGAAAAAATTTTAGTGTTATTTTATCAGTTAGTTTTTAATAAATTGAAATTAAAGTTAATTATAAAATAATATGCAGAATGCAAATTATAAGTATATTTATTTAATATTAGACATATAATTTTTTTTGTATATTTGAATATTATTAATTTATATTAATAATTTATATAATAATTTTTTATAATTATTGTAGTTTAAATTAAATCTTAAATTTTATTTTTTTAGTTATTATTAAGGGTTGAGATCATTTTAGTAAATAAATTTTAATTTTAAGTTTTTCAACAATTAATGAATCATAAAATACCAATTTTTAATAAATTAACCTAATTTAAACTTTGATTTTATAGTTATTTAATTTTAATAAGTTATGATTAAAAATACTATATTAAAATTGTCAGGTTTTTACTGCTTAAATTTTTAATGATATTTTTTTGATTTAAAGAATAATTATAAAATATAGAGATAGAATAAATAGCTAAAATTTTGTATATATAATATTTATATATTTAATAACAAATCTATAAAATTTAAAGTAATATTAATTACTAGTTTTTTATTTATTATATTTTTTTATAATTCTGATATTTTTGAAAAATGTATACATTTTAATAAGGATTAAAAATACTTATATTATTTTTATTATATAGATGATTTGTAAAGACTAATTTAGAATAGCTAACTCTATATTTATTAAATAGTACTAATTATATTATAATAAATTTTTTACTAATATTCATTATTATCAAGTAAATATAGATTTGTAAATTAAATTATCTTAACTAATATTTTGCAAATTAGATTAGTTTTAATTTTATCTAAATCTGATTTGATTTGATTTTCATTTTTATGGATCTGATCTAAATCTGAATCTAATAGATCTTTTTAAATTCAGATTTAATCTGAATCTAATAAATTAAATCTTAAATTTAAAGTTAATAGATTAATTAAATCTATCTAATTTAATCTAAATTTAGTTTTAAAGAAATCTAAAAAGTTTTTTTTTTCAAATTTTTAGTTCTTAAAAAATTCTAAAAAAATGTTTATTTTTATTTAAAAAAATTTTCAGTTCTAAAAAAAATCTAAAAAATATTTCTTTTTATTAAAATGAAATTTTTAGTTTTATAAAGATCAAAAAATATTTCTTTTTATTAAAAAGAAATTTTTAGTTTTTAAAAAATTTGAAAAATATTTCTTTTCATTAAAAATTTTCAGTTTTAAATAGATTTGAAAAATATTTTTTTACATTAAAAAGAAATTTTTAGGATCTAATAAAAAGGATTTCTTTTTTACTCTAAATATGGATTATTATTTATGTCACTCATTTTATAGTTGAAAACTGTAATTATAAATTTTGTATAATAGTATTTTAATATATATTACTTATTTGTAAAAAGTAAAGAATATTGAAAAAAGAGAAATTAAAGAAGTAGAAATTCTTAATTTTATTATTTAAAATATAAGCATAAAACACTTTTATTCTACTGTAAACTATGTATATGTTGTCTATTCACACATATAATATAGCAAATTAGAAATTGGAATTAGGTGTAATAGGTGTAATGTATTAAAGTATGCATTTTGTTTATATAATACTTTTTTAATAATGAGACATTTCAGACATTCTAAAAGTTCCTATTACTTAGTATATAATAAAAATACTTTTAATATTTTTGACATTTAATATAGTTACTATATATTTCAGTTTATAATTTTATTTTATTTTATTAAATTTGATTAACTCAATAAATACTCAGTAAAATTAATATCTAAATATTTTATTTCTGTTAATTACTTTACTTATTTAATCAAAGTTAGTTTTATTTAAATAAAATTCTAAATTATGCTATAAAGTGTTTATACAAAATATAATAAAATAAGTATAACTTTATAAATATTTAAGCTAACTTGATAAAAATTGATATTTAAATAGTTTCATACTTGCAAAATTACTTTACTTAGTTTTTAAGAATACATTTACTTTTAGATAAGTTGTTGTAATTATATTATAAAAAATAAGTATAATATAGTATTTTATGAAATATTTGTATAAAAACGCGTTTATATAAAAAATAAAAAATTGTTTATAGTTTTTGTAAATAATAAATACTTTTATATTATTTAAAAAATTATATCAACAAACTTTAAAGAATATAAAGAAAGAGAAAAAAAGGAAGAAAGAAAATAGATAAAATCAGTATATGATTTAAAGAAAGGAATAGGATAATATCATATACTCTAGGAATAGGTTAAGATTTTTCTTAATAAATAATATTTTGTTTAACATAATACTTTAGTATTATTACTTATGATATATAATTATATTTACTTTCTTAAATAGGACTTGTTGATTTAAAATTCATTTTTATTGTGTTTCTTTTTTATATTGATTTTTTTTATTATATCTATTCCGTTTATATAATAAGAAACTTCCAAATGATAGAAAAAGACCTGTTCCTAAAATTATACTAATTATAACTGGTATTGTTATTTGTGTTGATGGCTTTGTTGAAAGGATAAAATCATACATCCATATATATTCTTCATTATTACTAATATCAAGTAATAAAATATCATCATCATTATCATTTCCGTTCCCATTTTTACCAACACCTATTAAATTAAAATTAGATAAGATTAAAAATTAAGACTAAAGTAATTAATAATTAACTTTTATGCAAATATATTTTTACAAAGTTAATATAATAATATTTACCAAATGATATGACCATGTACTTTCCGATTACAGTTGCCTCATGCAAACTTCTTGACTCTTCAGGTTGTTTTCCAGACGATTTTGGAATATACCATTCATAATTTTCCAAATTTAATACATAAAGTGCGTCTGGAAGTAAAACATTACCATTTTTATTTGCTCCTCCAAAAATTATTACTCGTTGTCCATCCAACCCTTCAATATCATTGTTATTGTTGGTTAATATAA